GGGAAGGGAAGGGGGCCGTGGGGCCGCTCACCTGGAAGGGACAGGGGATGTGGTACTCCCGGCAGCGCTCCTGGATCCACGTGGTCTCCCACACGCCCCGGTACGCCTGCTCGTAGAAGTAGCAGCCGATCACCACCAGCAGGGGCACGAGGTAGAGCACGCTGAAGACGCCGATGCGGATCATGAACTTCACCAGCTTGTCCTGGTTCTCCTTCTCCAGCGGGATCTCGATGCGGACGCGGTTGAGGGAGATGATTCCGGCCAGCAGCAGGGACACCCCCACCACCACGTAGAGGCAGAGAGGCGCCAGCACGAAGTAGCGCAGCGCGTCCACGTCGTAGAGGCCGACGAAGCACACGCCGCTGATGTTGTCGCCCTCGATCTTGTTCATGGCCAGCAGGACGACGGTGAGCGTGCCGGGGATGCCCCAGGCGCTGGCGTGGAAGAGCAGCGCCTTCTTCTCGATGGCCTCGCTGCCCCACTTGGGCACGGCGGCCAGGAACCAGGTGATGGTGAGGATGACCCACCAGACGCTGCCGGCCATGGTGAAGAAGTAGAGCACCATGAAGAGCATGGTGCAGGCCTTGTTGTGCGAGCCCTGGGTCACCGTGGAGGCTTTGTACTGCGAGGGGCTGGAGGCGTTGCAGGCCACCCGGTCCTCCAGCAGGAAGCCGACGAAGAAGATGAGGGACACCATCATGTAGCAGACGGCGTAGAAGATGATGGGCCGCTCCGGGTAGCGGAAGCGCGTGACGTCGATGAGGAAGGTCAGGAAGGTGAACAAGGTGGCCGAGAGGCAGACGATGGAGATGACGCCGATGAAGTAGCGGGCGAAGGACAGCTCCTCCCGGCGGAAGTACATGTTGGGGCAGGGAGGGGAGCAGTCGCGGACCCTCAGGAAGGAGTAGCCCAGCTCCGGGTCCATTTTCAGCTCCCGAGGACACCAGAAGCCGTAATCCCTCTGCACGGCCATCGGGGCCTCCTCCGTGGGCTCGCCGGCCGAGCTGAGGTCCACCAGGCGAGGGTAGGGCTCGTCGCAGTCTGGGAACCTGCAAAGAGGAAAATACTCACAGGGAAAATGCTCCCAGTTCACAGGGACTGGGAACCTCATTTCGCACCGAATTCGCACGAGGGACCTTAGGGATCGTCGAGTCCAACCCATGCCCAGCACCTCAACTAAGCCACGTCCAGGCTTTGTTAAACACATCCAGGGTTTGGTAACCCCACCACCTCCCTGGGCAGCCATTCCAGAGCTTTATCACTCTTTCCATGAAAAACTGTTTCCCAATATCCAGTATTTCCCTTGATGCAGACTGAGGTTTTGTCCTCTGGTTCTGTCAGTTCCCCAGCTGAGCACAGCCCATTTCAGGAGCTGTGGAGGGTGCTGAGGTCACCTCGAGTCTCCTTTTCTCCAGGCTGAGCACCCCCAGCTCCCTCAGGGGTTCCTCACAGGGTTTGTGTGTTCCCAGCCCTTCTCCAGCCTCGCTGTCCCCTCTGGATGTTCTCAAGGTCCTTCCCAAAGTGAGGGACCAGAGCTGGGCACAGCTCTCCAGGCGTGCCCTCACCAGGGGCACAATGACCCCCCTGCTCCTGCTGGCCACATCCTTCCTGACACAAAAATCAGGATTTCTAGGTGTGACTTCAGGCAAAACAACTGGAGCAAAACCAGACAATCCAAAATAAATGGGGAATCCATCAAATTCTGCACTGTTTAGTCACAAACTCATCCCGCAGCTCAATGATGAAACTGTAAAATAAGTTTAAAAATCAAACAGGTGAGGGGTTAATTTGAGCTTTAAGAATGAGGGTAAGGATGCAAAATCCATCCCAGGAAATCTGTGGATTCAAGCCCACGGCAGCAGGATTTTAAAAACATTTTAAAGCTTTTCCTAAACAACTGCAGTCACTCCATCAGGCAGGGCAGTGAGGTGGTGACACCAAAATTCCAACTGGCACTGCCTCCAGTTTTCATAAATGGAATTATGATGAAGATATTTGTGGAGTTGAGCAGCATTAATAAATGGAATTATGATGAAGATATTTGTGG